GGCAGGACAGCTGTCAGCAACACATCCAATATCATCACACTGATTGGAGTCAAGGTTGGCTCACTCCTGGCTCCAATTAGCTCTGGGAGAAGTCATTAAGCTAGGGCCTCATATACTTTTTCCTCCCTGCACTGTGAATGTTTACATGTTATGTGCAATTAAACCATGGCAACATCTAATGTTTGTGTAGTATTATGTTCAGCAGACTGTGTTCTTCTATTGTTGTGACTTAGATGATGTTCAGAGCACATTTTATGCCCAATTCATGCAAAACTCCACGTAATCCCAAGGGGTTCACATACTTTTTCTTGCAACTGTAAATAGATTTTTAACCTGCTACTCTTCTTCAAGACCTTGTATATGGAGTTACCATGTACCTTCCATAGTCCTTGTCATGTGGGATCAAATTTTGGTTCTCTCTGTGATCCCAGGAACTGCTCTTTGGACTCCTTGGAGGTAATTCTTATCCATTTCACCTTCAAGGGGTTGTTCCCCAGTATTCATCACTACTGCCAGCTGAGTGTCTAGCCTATCAGGCTCTCATGTGGAGAACCCCATTTTCCTTTGGGCTTTTTCTGAGATCAGGTGATTTGAGGCCTAGGCCCTTCTGACCTTGGGCAATTTTTTCTGATCTTATCCACAACTAGAACATTGTTCTGTGGTCCTTCTGTTTGACTCCACTTCTATGAAAGGAGCTTTCTGACTTTTCCTTTTATCAAGTGGATGTTGCAATCTCATTAGAAGCCAGCTTCAGGCATAGGTCTTCCAAGTAGCTCTTGGGCTGTTGGCAGTCCCTAGTGTTTTTCTGTTGTTAGGCCTCTTGACTTTTTTTTCTGTAATGTCCAGACCTTTTTGGACTGATTTTTGGCTGTCACCTGAAGGTCCCTCAATGGATGAGAAAGAAAATAATCATCATAATCTTACATTACAAAACATTGGTTCAGAATCTTATATCTTGGGTTTTGCAGCTGCTTTAAGGTGCCGTGGTCCATCTTTAGGTGGGACCCTATCCCTGAAGACCCCCTTAGGGGTATGCTCACCAGGAAGGAAAAGATTTGGATGGGACTTAGTCCCTATCAACCATCCTTTGTTGCTGAGGGGATTGCAATATTGCTACAGCCCTATCTGGGAACCCAGGATGCTGTTGCTTTGGTCCCTAAGGGGTTACTTATAGGGTCACAGCCTGCAGCAGTTGCAGCAGGTATGTTTTTAAGCTTTGAATTTGGTGCCCTTTCATTTATTTGTCTTGGTCTGTGGGCTAGGGCTGCCATTACATCTACTCAGTCTCCTTATTATAGTGACTGACTTTTTGGCTAAAACACTAAATGCAAATGCCTTTGCAAATCAAAATGCCTTTTGATAGAGAACGAACTGATGCCGCCTTGGACAACTTTATTAAAGATGTCACTGGAGGGAAGAGTACCCTTTTGTTCAAACAAAAGAAATGTTGACCTAAGCCCAGAAAACCTCTCAGTATAAGAAGAGTTACATTAATTTCTCTCAGACCTCTAAGTCCAAGTCTTTCCATCTCAAACCTTAGTCTCTCAAATCTTTCCAGCTTGTGAGCAAGTCCTCCTCACAGTGAGGGGACACCACCACTTCCTTTGTGATCACTTGGTCTGAAAGCATCTCAGACACATGATTGAGGGACGTTGTGTCCATGGGCTACAAGCTAGAAGTGCCTCCACCCTGCTTCCTCCATGCTGCTTTGACCCAGCTTCTCTCTCATAGAGTGATTGATTTTGTTTCAGAAAAAGGGGGGTTTCTAGGTTTTTGCTCAAACCTTTTCACCTTTCCTAAAACAAAGCAGGGCATTCTGGATCTAAAAGCACTTGGTGCTTTTTTTTTTTCTCAATGCAAACATTTTGCTTGGAATTCCCTGGGTAAATCATTGATTTTCTCCAACCAAGAGATTTTCTGGCCTCTCTGGATATCAAAAATGCTCACGTGCATGTCTCCATCCTCCCAGCACATCAGCACTACCAGTTTGATGCTCTTACCTATGGTCCATTCTCTTCACTGTACCTTGAGTATTCACCAAGGTTCCACACAAAGGTTTTAGCCCTGATACTTGTTCTGCTACACTAACAAGATGTTCCCATTGTAGGATACCTGGATGGCTTCCTGCTGAGAAAGCGATCAGTTGTGGCTTTGTTGGACAATGTCTGCAAGGCTATTCAGAGCCTTCAGAGCTTTTGTTTGGTCGGAAGTCTATGCTGGAGCCGACTTAGAGTATTTAGGTCTCCTTCTGAATACTCTGCAGTCTGGAGTCTTTCTTCTTCAAGCCGACTCTCCATTACCAAGTGTGGACTCTGTAGTCCAAGAGCCGCCGTCTCTCCAATTTTGCATGAGAGTTCAGCTTGATGGTGGCCTCCTTCGAGGCAGCTTGATGGTGGCCTCCTTCCAGGCAGCCCAATATGCTCACTTCTGCTCCAGGCTATTGCATCTTAGCATTGTGGCTGTGGGGGACAAGTACAGTCTCTGGATACGTGGATTTGCCTGACACCTAGGATCAAATTGTCTCTAGCCTATCTGCTTCCACTGGTCTGGAAGATTATCACAATGGATGCCAGCCTGACAACCTAGAGAGGAATCCTTGACACCCTCTTGATGCAAGGGACTTGGTCCTTGGTTGAGGCTCATCTCCTGATCAACATTCTGGGAGTCAGAGCTTTATCTTCAACACTGAACCTCTCAGCTGCATGGTCATCCAATCTGTATTGAAATTGACAGTGCCACAGCAGTGGTGCACATCAATCATCAACAGGGTACCAAAAGTCTTGCAGCTCAATGATTCTGTTTTAGGCAGAACTTCACTTTCCAGCCCTGTCTGTTGTGCACATTGCAGTTATAGAAAATTGGCAGGTGCAGTTTGTCAGCTGTCAGTATCTAGATCTGGGGGAATGGGTTCTTCACCCAGAGATTTTTCGGGTTGGTAGTGAGGAATGTTGGATGTAGACCTTCTGGCTTCCAAATTCAACAACAAACTGAGCAAAGCTTGTGTCTAGATGCAGAGATCTTCTAGTCATAGTGATAGATGCTCTGGTAATTCTGAGATCAGTTCAAGATCATCCCATTCTTCTATTTTTAGAGACCAGTTAATCACTGTGCTTCACGTTCACTGGTTTTGATGTGGGTCATTCCTACACTTCTGAAAGATAGAAAATATATGTTAAGCAAGGTTTACCATCATACGTAGAAAGCATACTTTGCCTGGGGCGAGGCACGAATATTTAATTCCAGGAAATAATCCGTGGGACCTATCCTGACTATTCTACAATCAGGTATGGACCAGCATTTGGTCTTGAGTACCATCAAAGGACATATATTGGCTCTTTTGACCTTGTTTCAAAGTCCACTTGCTCTAATTCCTTCGTTAAAACCTTTGTACAAGGTGTTGCTCACATAGTTCCACCTGTACACCCTCCAATGACATCAAATCTGACTCCCACAGTGGCCTTCCTCATTTCAATAATCTTTGCAAGGAGTGGTACCTGAATTAGCAGCCTTATCTTATAAATAACCCTTTTTTGTACTACACAAAACAACCTTGTCTTGAGATTGAGAGCCTTTTTTCTTCCTAAGATGGTTTCTCATTTTCACCTAAATCAGAACATTGTACTTCCATATATCTCTCCTACTTTGATACATCCTAAGGAGATTTGTCTCTATCATTTGGGTGTAGTACAAGCCGTTCATGTTTATCTCTCAGATACATCTTCATTCTGACTGTCTGTCAATTGTTCTCCATTTCTACATGGCTCAGACAGGTTATTATTCAAGCCTATAGGCTTAAGAATAAGGTTTCATCCTTTCCTGTCAAGGTGCACACCACTTAATCTACTGGTAAGTGCCTTTTGGGGGTTTTCAGGCCTCTGCTGCCAAGATTTGCAAGGTTATTACCTGATCTTCTTTAGGTTTCCTCTGCCATCTTCAGGCATAAGGTCCTTCAAGCAACTCTTTGAGTTGCAGTTTGAAGCAGTTTTCACCTCCTGTTTTGTCAGCTTAGTAGCATGTTGTTTGCTGTATTTCCCATTCCCCAGTTAGACTACTTTGGGAGATCACATTTGTTTCAAATTTCTTCTGACCCTGTGTCCTCAAAAGTAGAAGCCAAAAACGTGGGTTTTTCTTTTCATGTTGGACAGAGAAAAGGAGGATTATAACCCATGTCAGGTTTTTTTGCCATCTCAGTCCCATTGTGGATATCTCTTTCAATTCCTGTCCCATTGCCAAAATTGGAAGTAAAAGTAAATCTGTCCAAAGTAAGGGAAATCTCTTGTAGTCACCAGGCTCACCAAAACTAGTGTCCCTTTTGGAAGATTTACCTTCTATTCCTGTTCGGGTGATCACTCAAAAATTGAGAGTTTTATTTCACTTTAAATTTCAGTGATAATGGTCATCAAGACAAAAATAGAGGGTAAATCTTTTTAACAGGGACACAGAAATGAAAACATGGCAGGTGTTATAACCCTTTCCTCTATCCTTTCCACTATCCAAAATGGCCTTTAGTTATTCTTTATTGAACAATAAAGAAAACAGGATATTTAACATATAGTGATTTTTGAGTTCAGGTTCCACTGCTCTGTCTTCATAACTCACTCTTATTACTGCTTTTCAAAAGAATTGGAGCATGATGGGAGCGAGAGGGGTTATACTTGGCTGACTAACAGCTTGTTGCTAGTGTTAAATTCTCCTTTAGGCAGCAGTATATTTCAGTTATCTCTGAATTCCTTTTTATCTTATGAACCTTTATAAACTCACTCTAAGAAAAGGATTTTATGGTAAGTCAAAAGTCATATTTTTCTCTCAACACAAAAGAAAATGATTCAGCTTCCACCAAATTTGTCCCTGTCGTGTTTGGTTATATACTTGCTAAGGATATTTGCCTCCAGGTTTCTTTGGGGCAAGCACTGATTTAAGCCAGAGTTTACTGTTAGGTATTGTGGAGTTGGTTGGTAGTAATTACTCCCTTTTTTAAATGTCACATTGTTGAATTGCAGAGATGAATGAGTGCCTCTCTGAACCATGTAAGAATGGAGGCAGCTGCCAAGATTTAGCCAGGGGATTCTTGTGTACGTGTCCTGAGGGCTACATGGGGACGCAATGTGAGACTGGTAAGGATGTTTCTTATATATTTTCCATATAACATATGGACAAGGGATGCTCTGGTTCTCTGTGCGATCAGATATGAGTGAATTACAGTCAGGTCCATAAATATTGGGACATTGACACAATTCTAACATTTTTGGCTCTATACACAACCACAATGGATTTGAAATGAAATGAAACAAGATGTGCTTTAACTGCAGACTGTCAGCTTTAATTTGAGGGTATTTACATCCAAATCAGGTGAACGGTGTAGGAATTACAACAGTTTGCATATGTGCCTCCAACTTGTTAAGGGACCAAAAGTAATGGGACAATTGGCTTCTCAGCTGTTCCATGGCCAGGTGTGTGTTAATCCCTCATTATCCCAATTACAATGAGCAGATAAAAGGTCCAGAGTTCATTTCAAGTGTGCTATTTGCATTTGGAATCTGTTGCTGTCAACTCTCAAGATGAGATCCAAAGAGCTGTCACTATCAGTGAAGCAAGCCATCATTAGGCAGTTAAAGCACATCTTGTTCGTTTCATTTCAAATCCATTGTGGTGGTGTATAGAGGCAAAAATGTTAGAATTGTGTCGATGTCCCAATATTTATGGACCTGACTGTATATGGCAGCTATGGTTGGCACAAGATAATGTAATAATATAAATCACACTCCCTATTCTTGTTTTTTTAGGGGTATTCAATGTAATAATGGAACTGTATGAATGAATGAGGGTATTAATTAATTAAGCTGCTATAGACTGTGTTTATGTACTTGTAGCTTTTCTGTTCTTTTTTCACTGTGCCTTTGTTATACACTGTATAGTTATAACAACAGTAACAGTTTCCTTTTCAGTTGTTTAAGGCTACTTTCATATTAGCCTGCATGGAAAAAATTCAGCTCTTGTTGCGCAGGCTAGTGCAGGTTTTCTTTCATCTTTATTTGACAATTCATTCATGTCAGTACACTCGGTGCATTGCGCTGCTGTGCAATGCAGAAAGATGCAGGCCTCTGCACAACACACTGATGTTGTGGTGTAAATGTAGAACATGTGCTGTAGTGGTGATTGCAGTTATCTATTGTAGAAAAATGCAGGTCACTGCACTTAGTGTGAACAAGCCCCAAAGGAGACCTACTGTATAACCAAAAGAATATCAGCATAAAAAATAAGCAGCCAGAAAACATTGCAGAAATACCATTCTGTTTTGATGAAACAAATGGAAATGACACACAGAGAGGGAACTTCTGTTCAGAGCTAGCTGTTCAAAGACACAGGGCTTTCTCTCCTACAGAGACAGAATCATCTGAGTTTCTCTAACCACTATTTTTTAAACTTCATATTGGCTTATATGCTTAAAACAGTTGTAAAGGCCCAAGGTTTTTTACCTTCACGCATTCTATGCACGAAGGTAAAAAACCTTCTGTGTACAGCAGTGCCCCTCAATACTTACCTGAGCCCCATCGCAATCCATCGATGTGCACAACAGCCTTGGCTGTTCCAGGTCTCTGCCTCTTCATTGGCTGAGACAGCAAGCAGGAGCCATTGACTCCTGCTATTGTCAATCACAGCCAGTCAGCCAATGAGGAAGAGAAAGAGGGGGCAGGGCCAAGCCACGGCTCTGTGTGTGAATGAACACATGGAGCAGCAGGTGGAAGAGCCAGGAGAGCCGCCTGTGGGGAACCCAAGAAGAAGCGAATCCAGCCTGCTCTGTGCAAAACCACTGCACACAACAGGTAAGTATAACATGTTTGTTATTTTACAAAAAAAAGGTTTTCTGTTTAGATAAAAACAAATACAAAATTATATAGAAAAATTATATTCATATATACAGTGCTGTGAAAAAGGATTTACCCCTTCCAGATTTTTTTTTTCATATTTGTCACACTCAAATGATTCAGATCATTACACAAATTTTAATATTATACAAAAATAACCCCAGTTAATAAAAAATGCAGTTTTTAAATGATGATTTAATTTATTAAAGGAAAAAAGCTGTCCAGACTTGCCTGGCCCTATGTGAAAAAGTAATTGCTCCCTAAACCTAATAAATGGTTGTGCCACCCTTGGCGGCAACAGCTGGACTGGAGTGTTTGTGATAACTGGCAATTAATGTTTTACATCGCTGTGGAGGAATTTTGGCCCTGTCTTAGCAGAATTGTTTTAATTCAGCCACACTGGAGGGTTTTCGAGTACGAACAGCCTGTTTAAGATCATACCACAGCATCTCAGTTAGATTTAATTCCAGACTTTGACAAGGCCACTCCAAAACCTTAATTTTTAATTTTTTTCTAAGCTATTCAGAGGTGGACTTGCTGGCGTGTTTCAGATAGTTGTCCTGCTGCATAACACAAGTGCGCCTGAGCTTGAGGTCATGAACTAATGGCTGGAAATTCTTCTGCAGGATCTTCTAGTAGAGCACAGAAATCATGTTTCCAATAATTATTGCAAGTTGTCCAGGTCCTGAAACTGCAAAGCAGCCCCTGACCATCACACTATCACCACCATGTTTGACTGTTGGTATGATGTTATTTTTATGAAATGCTGTGTTCGTTTTACAGCAGATGTAACAGGGTGCACACCTTCCAAATGTTTCTCATTAGTCCACAGAATATTTGCCCAAAAGTCTTCAAGATAATCAAGATGTTTTTTTCACAAATGTGAGACGAGCCTTTTTGTTCTTTTAGGTCAGCAGTGACTCTCACCTTGGAACTCTCCCATCTATACCAGTTTCTGCCCAGTCTTTCTTACTGTTGAATCATGAACACTGACCTTAACTGAGGCAAGTGAGGCCTGCAGTTCTTTAGATGTTGTTCTGGGTTCTTTTATGACCTCCTGGATGAGTCATCATTGTGCTCTTGCAGTAATTTTGGTAGGCCGACCACTCATGGGAAGGTTCACCACTGTTCCAAGTTTTCTCCATTTGTGGATAATGGCTCTCACCATTGTCGACACCGCTGGAGTCCCAAACATTAAGAAATAGCTTTGTAACCCATTTTTGGACTGATACATATCAATTACTTTGTTTCTCATCTGTTCTTGGATTTCTTTAGATTGTGGCATGTTGTGCTGCTGCTTTTTAAGATCTTTTAGTGTGCTTCATTTTGTCAGACAGCCTCTATTTAGCTGATTTCTTGATTCAGCTTTAAAAAAAAATGTGATTAAAAGCAGTTCATTCATGATTTAGCCGGGGGGGGCAAGTAGGCAAGTACTTTTTCACAAAGGGCCAGGCAGGTTTGAACAGCTTTTTGCCTTTAATACATAAAATCATCATTTAAAAACTGCATTTTATATTTAATCGGGTTATCTTTGTGCAATATGAAAATGTTTTTGATGATCTGAATCATTTAGGTGTCACAAATGTGCAAAAAAAAACAAAACAAAAAATCAGGAAGGGGCAAATACTTTTTCACAGCACTGTATATGAATATAGGCAAAGTATATAAGATGCAGAAGTAATTTTCAAATTGGATATATACCTAAACAAATATACAAGCACATGGGAAGATCTATGTATATATATATTTTTTTTTATTTTCGGGCATTAAAGTTGGGGGTTCACTTTTAACCCTGGAGGCACAGATGTTTGAAATACTATTTTTCCTTTTTATCAGAGCTGGATGGCTGTGACTCTTCTCCATGCCAGAATGGGGGGATCTGTGAGAATCTAGCAGGCTCGTACCTGTGTGTATGTCCTAGGGGATTCTACGGCTATCACTGTCAGACAGGTGAGAGTGTCTGTGCTGTGGAAATATAATAATCTATTGCCCAACACGTCAATAATGTACATTCTCATTTCCTTCATTCTTGAATCTCTCGATTTATGGTATGATAACACTAAAAAGAACATGCATACAAAATAAGTGAACTAAGCAACAAGCTAAAAATAAGCAACAAATTAGTGACTGCATTTAGTCCAGATACCAATACTTGGATACAAATCAAGCTAGACCCTTGAAGTAACTGTATCCCTAAGTCTGGATTAACTTCTCACTGCTGGCTTGTCTTGTACTTTGTTGTTTTCTCAGCATGCATTCAGCAAAGATGCATATTGCACTTACTGACTTTATAGGTAGATGTACAATTTTTTGTTTACAAATTAGTGAAATCCTTGTTATCCTCATTATGTATATGGATATATATTTGAAATATTCCAGCAAGATCAATTCTTTACACATATTAATTTACGTTTTTATTTCCACTGCATTTTCACATTGCAATGTTCCATGTCAAACTGCAGAATAAACATGGGGAATTCTGCATTAAAAAGGGGAAAGTGGAGAAAAAATGAAAAGCAGTTATTATTTCTTCTATTGTTTGTAAGCACATATTTGAATACAAAACTGGTCATACCATAACCGGAATAACCTTGTGTTTTACAGTGAGTGATTTATGTCTTATGAATCCATGTGGCAGCCGTGGCGTCTGTGTGTCTGGTACAGATGGCACTGTGAGCTGTACATGTCGGACTGGCTATACTGGGATCACTTGTGAAAGAGGTAATTTCCCAGGAGTTTGAGTCTCTGCACCCAGCACCTGGAAGCTTCTTATATATCTGGTAGAAATTGACTTAATAGCATATACAATGTTACCGCAAAGAGCATTGGCGATGAAGTGATCATGCAAAACTAAGCTCTTACCTGACTACAGTAATCTGAAATGTGAATCTGATTTCCACAAATTTGTGCTATAGTTTACAATTGCTGTGATATAATAATATTCCTCAGAGTACTATCTTTATCTGCAAAAAAAAGCTGATTTGTTAAATTAGAATTTTGTCTACTTTTCACTTTACATTGTACAGAACAGTACATACCGCAACCTAGCTTTTTGTATATTATTCAGTGTTGAGACCAGGTACCAGTCCACCTGCTTCCTTTTGTTTATAAGTGGTCAGCTGAGAACCCCAGTTTGTGGTGCAGGAAAGAAGTTTCCAAATACACCATCTGCAGAACCGACTGAAGAAAATGTCAGTGTTTGGACTTTTCTCATCGCCACTAATCAGATTAAAACTTGATTTAGTATTTTCAGTGTAATAGGTAATACATGGAGCAGAGGGAGGACATAAGGATGACCATACACTAGTTAAATTTTGTTCAAAAATGTTCATTTTCAGAATGTTCGTTCGATTTTCTAATCATTAGTGGGTCAAATCACTCGTTTTCAACCAGTTTCAAGAAAATTCGAAGGGGAAGAATACAAAATGTATCTCGATTGAACAAATTTCCAGCTGTGTTTGTGGTTTTCATTCAGGAAATTCCATTCATATCAAAATTGAGTGTTAAAAGCAAAAAAAAAAATTAATTCACTTTGAACAACGTTCCTCACAGCATAGACCTCAGTCAGGATGTTTACTAATGGATTACAGAAAACTATAAATAAAGAAAACTGAGTGGACTTTCTGATTTGCATTTGCTGAATAACATTACTAGCTCACAAGTTACTGTCACTTGTTGCCTGTGCTCTTTAAGAGTAAATGTGTACTGGCAAAGGTGAAGGCAGAAGTCTTAAGAAAGGATGGAAAGCTTTGATCTTTCTGTTGTATCATGTCATCAGAAGCAGTGTATGTAGAATAATGACTTGCATGCTGGAAATCTTGGAGTGTGTTTAGGAGAATTTATCATTGTGATGATTTGCTGTTTCTTCTTCTTGCCATAGAGTTGTTGCCCCCCCTCTCTTTGTCACTTGGCGCAGTGGGAGAGAACAGCGTGTGGGTGTTTTGGACTCCACCAGAGGAAGTGCCTGGACATTTGCCTGATGGCTTTGCTGTGAGCTATACAGCACTGGACGGCTCCTCCCGGACTGACTTTGTGGAGAGGGGGAATACTGAACATGAGCTACGAGGTCTCAGCCCTGGGCGGCCGTACAACATCACTATTGTCACCGTGAAACGAAATCTGAGGCACAATGATATCAGCCGCCCGCTCATACTTACTGCCCGCACGAGTATGAAGGCTTTTATTGCAATCTAATGAAACATGGAAACAAAGGGGGATTATGTTGTAATTTTCACAAGGAAACCTGCCTTCCATCAGTGAAAAATTCAATCATAATCTGGGTTCTTTGTAGAGATAGTAGCGTCACCATATAGTCTTTGTGCATATGACAATCCTGTATCCAGGAATACTGTTATTTTGACCTACTAATGACAAGAGAGTTGATTTAATGAAATATTGGTAATTTTTACATATAATGAACAAATGAAAGGTTTCTGATCTAAATGATTTGGTCCTGAACTAAATAGAATCTGTATATATTGGTACTCCTGTCTTAAGCTAAACTCCAAGTAAACAGCTAAATAGATAAAATTCATATATGAGACCTGTTTTACCTGCCAAAGGATTTGTTTGTCTGTCCATCCAGTCCTGAGATTTACATAGCTCTGTTATGCAGTGCAGTCCTGTCTGGGGGAGGAGGGGGGCTGATCCATGTCTGCTGCAATTTAACTTTTACTTACAGTTCCCTGCCCCAACTTGTGAGTGGACAATGAAGTGAGAAGCAACCCATTGATTAATTAATTTTTTCACTTTGCTGCCTCATATTGTCAGCATCCTTGCACTGTGGCACACCTGATTAGCACAAAAAGAACAAGCATTCAGTTCAAGAAAGTATAGGTAAAGTCAGGGATCTCATTGTCTGAGCCAGAGGGTTAGCATTGTAGTCAAGCAACAAGCATTTTCAGTCTCTTTAGTTCCCTTATGACAGGATTCCATTAGTAATTTCTTTGCCCTCAGTTTCTCTATACATAAAGGAATAGGGTGCTTTTCAGTGCAGCACTGTATCCTCAGCCTTATTTGTTAATATAGTTTAAAGGGCAGTGATGATGTACTGAGCAACTACTTGGATATTATTGTAATGTTGTTACTTCAGAGACTGGTTGTGCTGTTTGTATGTTGCATTTTTCCTCATCAAATGAGACCACACTATTAGATGGTTGAGGTTGTATCTCATAAATAATATACAGCTCTGTATGTTTGGCAATATAGGACCACCAACTGTGGATAGAGCTCGTGTTAGTTCTGTCGCAGAATATTCTGTCACGGTCGCCTGGTCACTGAACCCCCACCGTCATATTCCTGTGGCTCATGTGCGACTGTCACTGCAGCACCCAAATGACAGGACGCAGCAAGCTGAGCAGGAGCCATCGACAGGAGAGTATACCTTCAGGTGAGTGTGAGCTGATGTATCCGATTGTGTGTATTCATATGCTTTCTTAAAATGTGCTCTTCATTACTAATGAAAAATTGACATAGTGGGCATTAATTTCTGTTGAAGGCTTATAGGTGTTAATGCTCCACCGGAGGGAGAAAACAAAAATTAGTGTTACTGGTAGGAAAGGATAAGATACTCTCTTGCATTCTATAATTCATGCAAGGACTTTTCCCCGGATTTGGTAAAAATATATAAAGTGTTAATGCAGATGCTAACACATTGTGAATGTCAGTAACTCTGCCCAAGATTGGTCTTTTAGATGGGAAGTTTAGGATCAGTATTGATATTCTAGAGTTCCTGGTTTACTGTAGTTCCTTAATGTCAGTGAGAGAGCATCTGCCTATTATTCTTAAGTGGCTAGAAATAGATTGGGCGACTGTCATCTCATGTGTCTGCTGTGTCAAAAACACCCTTTTCTTGGGGTTTCATTGTTGGTGGCTATTGTAATCAGATGGAATTTCATGTCCACAGAGATCTGGACCCTGGACAGAAATACACCATTCTAATCAGCACCTTAAGCAGCTCTGACCATGGCAATCCACCTTCAGAGAGCCTACCTAGTGCTCCTTTAGTAGCCTGGACACGTAAGTGAACTAACAGTCCTTGCTATTTGAGTAGATCCAGAGAAACTCTTATTTTCTAGTAGGTCTCACAAACTCTTTCACTAAACATTGAGTATAACAGTAGATATTTTTTCTTGTCTATTGAGGGACACAGGAAAGTTTAATATACAGGAGGAATGGCAAACAAAAAAGTGGTTCTAAAGAGTTCAAACTAGCCCACACATTGGGGGGGGGGGGGGGGTTTCGGGGGCAGAAATCACACCTGTTCCCGCACCTGCAACCTGTTTTTCATTTGCAAGATGCACGGGTGCCATTCATTCTGAATGTCATGCATCTCAATCCGCAGCGAGACCATGCATATTCCCTGCAGATGTGTTTTGGAAAAGGTGCCTGCACAGCAACCTATTCAAATTAGCCTGCACTAGTGTGAACCAGGCCTAAGTGGTTTTTACCTTAATGCATTCTCTGCATTAAGGTAAAAAAAATCCCCCACTACTTTTTCTTCACCCCATCCCTAAACACTGCTTCCTCTCATGATCCAGTTATTTCCCAGCTGCATCTCTGCTCTCCTCTCTTCCTGGTCTCACAGCCATAGATTTCTGCTGCTATCAGTAAACTTCCTGTGACGAGTAAGAGGGGTGAGGCTTACCGGTACATCCCAGATTAGAGTGTGCCCTCACTGGTGCTCTCTTAGTACCACGCTTGCTGAGAGGGCACGCAGGGAAGAAGAGGAGTAGACAGCACAGGAGGGGAACCACCAAAGAGGAGCTAACGGTCCGCTTTGTGCAACATTCTTGCCCAGAGCAGGTAAGTATAACAATAATATATTTTTTTTTTTATTTTAGCCCAAAAAAGCCTTTAATATCACTTTAAGCCCTCTTACTATCAGCTTGCCTGAGTTTTTTTGCTAGTGTCCTAGGAGGATTAATGTTTTTTTTTCTGCTAAACTCTGTCTATTTTCCTAACATCCTTTTTCTTTTTCACTGTTTTTTTTTCAATGAAGTCTCTTTTCTACATGGATGCTGGAGCTTTGTTTTTTCCATTGCAGTTCTCTGGCTCTGGCAGCATGGTTTTTGGAATAGTGTATCCAGCCCCCACTGGACAGGACATTGCAAGGATAGCTTGGATGTGACCTTCAGGCAATGGGTTCATGTAGAGTGCTTTCCAGAACCTGTTTTACTTAGATGCTTAGCAGTATCCAGGTATATTGCCAATGTAATTGCCTCATCAGTTGCCCCTTTTCTGAAGACTCATTACTTAGGCCGGTTGGACAAAACACTGAGATTTTCCTCGTTTACGTAGGTTGCTTGGTACCATTATTCCTCATTTCCACTGGTTTTGCTTTAGGGGTTAACGGTGTGGGATTGAGCACTGATGTCATCTGGTGAGTGTAGTATTACAAACTATGCAATCTTTGCTGCCATACAGCATCTAGGATGAATCTCCTCAGTTGCTGAGCCACATGGTACTTCAGTCCATTCCTGCTGCCTGCCTAGAGTGATTTTAGTCACCTTCAGCCATCCAACACTCACCTGCTACCAGCTGTCTGAGTTTTGTGATTATCTGAGACCTTACCTTTTATGCTGAGCCTATACACTGCCTTACCATCATGCGGCCTCAACATGTCTGACTATAGATAAAACCAGATGCCTACAGCTCACAGTAATGGCTCCAGGGCAGCCTGCAGCATGCCTACCCATGGCACCAATGTCTGCAATCTAGAATCATATTACCCTCTGCTCTTAGAGTCTGTTCTGACCTGGAGTCCTTTTTTGGCTCTGTTTGATGTGGCAGGACCCTATTCTCCTTTGATTCAGGTTTCTGCCACAGTTAGGCAAAACTGTTAATTGCTGATTTTGATCTTAGAGCCCACAAGCATGCTCCTGTGCTCTCTCCCATGCAGATATTTGATTTACTTATGACCTCATTGGCTCTCAAGCTACTGGCCACAGAGACTGCCTGATTCTGAGTCATCCCAGGGCTTGACTAATGAGCTCACAACAAGGAGCCGTCTACTGCTATTACACCCAAATTAAAATAGACCATTTTGGCTCTTACGGATGCAGTGTATGCCACTTTGAAACTAGAGGATCAGCCTGTTGCCTATACCAGTACTGTTTACAGTCTTAGATTGTTTAGAACTTCCAATCTTTCAGAGTCTTTCCTTTTGCACCCACTTTTCCAGCAGCTTCTCTATGGAAGCATCCAGATAAGCTGCTGACCCCCCTAAATGTTTATTTGCCATTTACTCACTTTACTCACTTTGGTGTATTCCCACAGTGGACCGGGCAGTTTCCCGGTGCTTACTATTCTGTTAGAGAAAGCACCTGTCTTTAAAGGGTTCTTTTGTGGGAGCAAATATAGCAAAATAAAAAATAATATAGCATATACAGTACAAGCCATATTGTAATTGAATAATTTATTGAAAATTATCTTCCTTTCAATCTGCAGCTCTGTAATTTTCTGCACAATTCAATGCGTTATGGCAACCTAAAGGCATTCTGTACACAGCTGGTGTACGCAGTGCCCCCAGAGATAACATTTCCTGCTTGTATGATTGGCTCACTGATTTTCCCAGAGGTCTGTACTAAGATACAAGTCTAATTTTAGGCATCATCTAAAGGAATGCGGACCCTGCCATTCTCCTCATTAGAACCCTGTAAGTGCATCAGCTGATCAAAAAAAAATCACTTCTATTTAGAATCAGTCCTGCACAAGACATGATCTAACAAAGAACTATTTTTTCAGAATAGAAACAGGTAGGACTCTGCAACAAAGTTTGTTAAAATCCCTGCAATGTACGTTTATCATCCAGAGGGAATGTTTTATTCTCAACAAAAAGTGGAGTTACTCCACCAATGAGAGGTTATAAGATCTTTGTCAAACCATGTCTGGTAGGTTAAATTTCCTTAATCTAACTAACTACTGCTGCGGTTCATCTCTCATTTATATAATGCATGGAGCAGATGACTGTAGTTTTAAATTTCAGCTGTGAAGGTTTACTGGAAGCCTGCCATCACTTATTTCATGAATCTAATGTTATTGCAGATGTGTAGGGCACTTTGGCTAGAGTGCTGGACTGCTGAACCCTTTTGGAGAAAGCATTTAATCCGCATGGCCTTTGATGCATAGCGTCTTCTCGGATCCAGCTATTGACAAATTCTCAAGCCTGCTAGTGATGTACAGAGTACCTATCTTGCTCAGCTGAAGAAGCCTAAGAAACAACGCCTTTTCTCCACTCCATTGACCTTCACACCAAGACACCCAAGGCACCCTGTCAATCCATAAGTCTGGACAGTCAAAGTCTGCCAAATCCTCAAACAAGCCTTTCTCTGCATGAAGGTGCACACCTACTTTCCAGAGTAGGGGAATATTTGATAACCTTTATGGATGCTAGAACAGCATGCATCTCAGATGCTTAAGTGCAGGAGGTGGTATCACAAGGCTACAATCTGGAGTTTTGCTCCCTGCCCTATCCTTTATTTCTCACCTCCAACCTTCTTGTGACACCACACAGATTAGTTGTCAGGGATCCCGGGTCCTCGGCGGTGCGCGCATGCGCAGACGGCCGATCTGTCCCGGCCGACGATCGCGGCGGCGGCCGCGCATGCGCAGTAGCGATCGCGGCCGCACCAATGGGAGAGCAGGGCGCTCTATTTAAAGCTGCCCTGTGCATCTCCAGGTTGCCGCAAGGTCTTGTTCCTGATTCTGTAAGTACGCTTCCTAGTTGCCAAACTCTGCCTGTTCTGACTTATGCTGACCCTCTCCTGCTCTGACCCCGGCTCCTCCCTGACCATCCTCCTGCCTGACCCTCTGTACCGCGCTGCCGGCTACCTGCTGATCCTGGCTTGTGACCCCGACCATTCTCCGCTTACTCCCCCTGTACCACGCTGCCCGCACGATACCGACCCGGCTAGTCTGACCTTGCTCGCTCCTAGCTGTCACCCATCCATCCCGCTCGGATCGGGATCTGGCACCCGTCCATCCCGCTCGGATCGGAATCTGCCATCCCATCCATCCGCTCGGATCGGACCTGTCGTCCCCTTCGCAGCAGGCTCATCCCGGGAAACATACCCCCAGCGGGACCCCTCTACCACCGCCGGGGGTGCCCAGGGGCGCGACCTGGTCTCAGTCTTGCACCAAGTCCATCCCCACCATCAGGGGCCCTGGTGAAGAGGCAGACTGGGACTTAGACTCCGCGTCCTGGGAAACCCCGTGCTGTGGACCACTAGAGATCCCGTTGGGCGGAGCCTGACATTAGTAGTCGGGTCTTCTGCTTTAAGGTGTTATTACCCCAGTCCCTTTGTCAGAATAGTTCCAGGGGTTTTAGTCAAATTTGTTCACTGTTCCTGAGTCCAAAGGGAATATTTGCCCCATTCTAGATTTCAAA